ATTTTGCCCATGGCTTTGTTACTTGAACGGTGGATTGTGACAATGAGTCGTGTGACTTCCAGGGAACTCATTATCTTATATTATAGTTTTGTCGCTTCCCATTTGCATGTAACTTGTTCCTGTTTTTCTTTGTGGATGATGATTGTTGGGCAAAATATTCCTCTTGTGATGCCATCATAGCTACATAATGATGCATTGTGTACGCCCATGTCATATCATACAATCCATACTCAGCATACACATCAAGCCAAGCTGTAGCCTGAGTGTTACAGTAATTGAACCATACTTTTCTCAGAGTGCAGCATCGAGGATGTCACCCAGAGTCCAGTAGAGATACGAGCCAAGACCAAAAACTGCGGCGGCGACATTCTTCGTCCATGGTCACAGAGCGGGGCTTTTTCTTTTGTATGTTTTATGATATTGTAATGTTTATAACACGCACACACACACACAGAAACGGAGAACTCTTTTGGAGACATTTTTCTTTTCGATTCCCATTCTGAAATCCATGCACGTGGTCATCGAATTTCGGGCTGAGCGTCCCCTTTACATCATCCCCAGCTCCTAAACCTCCGAAATCAGTCGCCTCAGCCCATAGATCCAGGGTTTGTGTCGAAACAAAGGGAGACCGGACGTGATGGGGACAATGGCCAAACATGAACAAGGCAAAATTGAGCATTGATCATGGTTTTAGGGTCCCCCATGTTTCCCGCTATATTTTTGTATATTCTTGTAGTCTACTAGGTATCCTCGCATTCAAAACTCAGATGACCGAAGCGATTAGATACTTGACATTTAAGATGGACTCTCGTGACCCGTGTAAAACTTTGAGAGTTGACACCATCGAAATCAAGTAGGCATATAGACGCTCCACCATGTAGATCCTTTTCTTTGTTGTTTGTGGTCATGAAACACCTGGCTACACCTGGCTCTTTTTTTGGCTCAAAGAAGGAACAAATGAATCGCTTTTGTCACGCCTGACTGAGCTCAAAGTGCGCAGCGTGTCAATGGCCAAAGGCGCCTCAAGGCAAAGCATGCCGATGAGCTGCTTTGCGTGGTTTCACTACAGTGATCTAGGAATCTAGGCGTGTCAGATGTGTCTTTGTGACGCAAATCACTGTCACTCGCCTAGCGCTTGCCGAAATATGGGTGAGGAATCTTGATAGCCAGAGGTCAGCTTGTGCAGAACGACTCGAGACAGCCTCCGTGTTAAGACAATCGCAAAGAGAAGTAGAGCTGAATATAGCTGAATCTGCTTTTTCACCTCCATGATACTGTACCCAGTTTGGACGATGGCAAAAGAGAAGTACAGCTGAACCCGCTCCTCTCATGAACGTGCTTTGAATGTTTGGATGACAATGTAGCAGTCCTGCACCCCACATGGTGCCAGTGAAGACAGAGGCAGGCCCACGTGTGGTTGCTTCTGCACAGGGATTGCAATTTGGATGTTGCAAAACCCATCCAAGGCACGAAAATAGAAAGTTATCTTGGCCGACTACCAACATCCCGAAAGATATACTGAAAATCCCAATATCCAGAGATGTTTGCCCCCATGGTCCCAAAATTGATTCTGGATATTTTTTGTGTACCATGTACGCCTGGGGGTTGTTCCCTTGCAAATCAACCCTTGGCGTAGCAGGGGTGGTTGGGCCACTTGCTTTGACACTATCCATCATCTAATAGACACCAATACATCCAAATGATTTCATCTATGCAGGTGGCTTGGCCATGACAACGTTCTAAGCAAGTTTCCAGCTGCGGAAATTGCCCATTGCCCAGTCTTGGCTTTCGACACTGCAATGCAAACCAGGTCAAAATGCTCGAGCATAGTTAAACTGACCAGGGGCGCCATTCAGAATTTCAGAAGTGGCCAGAAACAGTCTTTTCCAAAGACCATTCATTTCAAAAGTCGTCTTCGACAGTCAGGGTGTCACCCTAGCGTGAAAGAAACGTCCAACGATAACACAATATTTGAATTGACGCAATATTGCTTTTACTCAGAGGGCTCTATCCCATGAAGATTGCATCGATTTGGAACCCTTTCAAACCGCAGTGGTTCCCCATTGTGCAGGCTCTGCCTTTTGTTTGCACAACAGGTTTGGGAATGAGCACAACACCTCACATCTTTCGGCCCAACTGGGCGCTAGTGCGGGAGGTACGTGAGGTCTGGTCTCGATCTGCTTCCAGCTTCGTGACACAGAGAACGGGCAGTGATGCCATTCATCCAACAGACAGAACCTGTGACATTTCCTGGCTCGAGAAATTTGGTTCGTGAATGCTGGTCAGCTTGCCAGTCGGGTTGCTTGCCAAGAAGTGCCTCATCTGTGGCTGGATTGTATTTTGATCATGTTTGATCATTTTTGATCTGTGGGATTTGTGGGCCTTTTCCTGTCATGAAAATTTCCAAGCTCACACACAATTCAAACCGCAAGGTATATCAGAAATCCTCATAGCGCAAAAACAATGTCCAACAATTTCGCGAGATTGTGGGGATAGCCTTTGTGGGAGAGCGTTCCCAGTAGAAGCATCAAGTTTTGCCCCACTGTCATCCACGCCCTGATCCAGTACATCCCAACATTGGCGCTCGACCATCCCAAACGCTACATACAACAATTCGAGGGGTATATGTGCCCAAAAACATGCCAAATAAACCTTGAGGCCAAGTATTCAATAACACAATATTAGAATTGTCGCAATATTGCTTTTACTCAGAGGGCTCTATCCCATGAAAATAGCATCGATTTGGAACCCTTTCAAACCGCAGTGGGCCCCCATTGTGCAGGCTCTGCCTTTTGTTTGCACAACAGGTTTGGGAATGAGCACAACACCTCACATCTTTCGGCCCAACTGGGCGTTTCTTATTGCAGGGGTGGTCAGTGAGGTCTCATCTCGATCTGCTTCCAGCTTGGGATCCTAGCTAGGCAATGCCCAGGAAGACTGTAAACATGCACCGCATTTGCTCCGTGGCTGTTGCTCTCTCAATCAGCAAGCTTGAAGCGCCAACTAATCAAGAGTTCTCTCCCACAATTTCGGAGTCTGTGCAATCAACAGTACTCGTTCTTTCGCCATGGTTCCCATGCTGATCTTTCTGCTCCTGGCATCGCCTGCTTTGGGAATTCGATTGGATGGTTCCGTTGGCGCCGTTGAAGTACCAAAGAAGGGAGAGACTCGGAAAACTGATGTGTCTATATGTGTCTAAGTTTTGTCCCAAAGTTTTTCAACTTTGTGTGAGGTAGTAGACTTCCAAGCCCCAGAATCTTGAACGAAGCGGGCGTTTGAGTGGAGGGGTTGGATATTTTTTTGATCAATCATGAATCAGCAAAGGACAAATGTGAATGCCCTGGAAAGAATTGCTGTGGAGATGACTCATTGGTATGCGACGTGAAGACTCGCACTTGTAAACCAAGCCTCGGTAGTCTCTGCTCGACGAGTTATTTCTTCACAGAGTGCGCAAGTAAAGACACCTACAACGTCAGCACTGAGTGCGCACTAAGTGCAGCGGGGTATCATAGATGCTGTATCAAGAGTGGTCAGCCTCTTGCACTTACCACTTACACAGATGAGTGCTGCTGGGGCAAAAAGGGAAATGTTTGTAAATGAGATCCTGATGGCTTCCTTGGCAACGATTCAGTGCCTTCCACCTGAGCTCGCTCGCGCAGAAAAACGCTGGCTTGGCAGCGATTCTCGAGAAACACATCAAGGATTCACAGATTTAAATCTTGTCACACATTCCACCTTGTCTGTTTCATTTTTTGATCCGCTCAGATTTTCAAAAGTGTTAGTCATACATTCCACCTTTTTTGCGCTGTTCAAAATGTTGTTCTCATTTGTTTCGTCAGGGCATTGGATTTTAGTCAGCATGAAAAGTAAACCGGGATGTAATTGATGAGTAAATCTTCAAGAGAGCTGGCTTGTGTGTTAATTTGCTCCGTGGCTGTTGCTCTCTCAATCAGCAAGCTTGAAGCGCCAACTAATCAAGAGTTCTCTCCCACAATTTCGGAGTCTGTGCAATCAACAGTACTCGTTCTTTCGCCATGGTTCCCATGCTGATCTTTCTGCTCCTGGCATCGCCTGCTTTGGGAATTCGATTGGATGGTTCCGTTGGCGCCGTTGAAGTACCAAAGAAGGGAGAGACTCGGAAAACTGATGTGTCTATATGTGTCTAAGTTTTGTCCCAAAGTTTTTCAACTTTGTGTGAGGTAGTAGACTTCCAAGCCCCAGAATCTTGAACGAAGCGGGCGTTTGAGTGGAGGGGTTGGATATTTTTTTGATCAATCATGAATCAGCAAAGGACAAATGTGAATGCCCTGGAAAGAATTGCTGTGGAGATGACTCATTGGTATGCGACGTGAAGACTCGCACTTGTAAACCAAGCCTCGGTAGTCTCTGCTCGACGAGTTATTTCTTCACAGAGTGCGCAAGTAAAGACACCTACAACGTCAGCACTGAGTGCGCACTAAGTGCAGCGGGGTATCATAGATGCTGTATCAAGAGTGGTCAGCCTCTTGCACTTACCACTTACACAGATGAGTGCTGCTGGGGCAAAAAGGGAAATGTTTGTAAATGAGATCCTGATGGCTTCCTTGGCAACGATTCAGTGCCTTCCACCTGAGCTCGCTCGCGCAGAAAAACGCTGGCTTGGCAGCGATTCTCGAGAAACACATCAAGGATTCACAGATTTAAATCTTGTCACACATTCCACCTTGTCTGTTTCATTTTTTGATCGCTCAGATTTTCAAAAGTGTTAGTCATACATTCCACCTTTTTTGCGCTGTTCAAAATGTTGTTCTCATTTGTTTCGTCAGGGCATTGGATTTTAGTCAGCATGAAAAGTAAACCGGGATGTAATTGATGAGTAAATCTTCAAGAGAGCTGGCTTGTGTGTTAATTTGCTCCGTGGCTGTTGCTCTCTCAATCAGCAAGCTTGAAGCGCCAACTAATCAAGAGTTCTCTCCCACAATTTCGGAGTCTGTGCAATCAACAGTACTCGTTCTTTCGCCATGGTTCCCATGCTGATCTTTCTGCTCCTGGCATCGCCTGCTTTGGGAATTCGATTGGATGGTTCCGTTGGCGCCGTTGAAGTACCAAAGAAGGGAGAGACTCGGAAAACTGATGTGTCTATATGTGTCTAAGTTTTGTCCCAAAGTTTTTCAACTTTGTGTGAGGTAGTAGACTTCCAAGCCCCAGAATCTTGAACGAAGCGGGCGTTTGAGTGGAGGGGTTGGATATTTTTTTGATCAATCATGAATCAGCAAAGGACAAATGTGAATGCCCTGGAAAGAATTGCTGTGGAGATGACTCATTGGTATGCGACGTGAAGACTCGCACTTGTAAACCAAGCCTCGGTAGTGTCTGCTCGACGAGTTATTTCTTCACAGAGTGCGCAAGTAAAGACACCTACAACGTCAGCACTGAGTGCGCACTAAGTGCAGCGGGGTATCATAGATGCTGTATCAAGAGTGGTCAGCCTCTTGCACTTACCACTTACACAGATGAGTGCTGCTGGGGCAAAAAGGGAAATGTTTGTAAATGAGATCCTGATGGCTTCCTTGGCAACGATTCAGTGCCTTCCACCTGAGCTCGCTCGCGCAGAAAAACGCTGGCTTGGCAGCGATTCTCGAGAAACACATCAAGGATTCACAGATTTAAATCTTGTCACACATTCCACCTTGTCTGTTTCATTTTTTGATCCGCTCAGATTTTCAAAAGTGTTAGTCATACATTCCACCTTTTTTGCGCTGTTCAAAATGTTGTTCTCATTTGTTTCGTCAGGGCATTGGATTTTAGTCAGCATGAAAAGTAAACCGGGATGTAATTGATGAGTAAATCTTCAAGAGAGCTGGCTTGTGTGTTAATTTGCTCCGTGGCTGTTGCTCTCTCAATCAGCAAGCTTGAAGCGCCAACTAATCAAGAGTTCTCTCCCACAATTTCGGAGTCTGTGCAATCAACAGTACTCGTTCTTTCGCCATGGTTCCCATGCTGATCTTTCTGCTCCTGGCATCGCCTGCTTTGGGAATTCGATTGGATGGTTCCGTTGGCGCCGTTGAAGTACCAAAGAAGGGAGAGACTCGGAAAACTGATGTGTCTATATGTGTCTAAGTTTTGTCCCAAAGTTTTTCAACTTTGTGTGAGGTAGTAGACTTCCAAGCCCCAGAATCTTGAACGAAGCGGGCGTTTGAGTGGAGGGGTTGGATATTTTTTTGATCAATCATGAATCAGCAAAGGACAAATGTGAATGCCCTGGAAAGAATTGCTGTAGAGATGACTCATTGGTATGCGACGTGAAGACTCGCACTTGTAAACCAAGCCTCGGTAGTCTCTGCTCGACGAGTTATTTCTTCACAGAGTGCGCAAGTAAAGACACCTACAACGTCAGCACTGAGTGCGCACTAAGTGCAGCGGGGTATCATAGATGCTGTATCAAGAGTGGTCAGCCTCTTGCACTTACCACTTACACAGATGAGTGCTGCTGGGGCAAAAAGGGAAATGTTTGTAAATGAGATCCTGATGGCTTCCTTGGCAACGATTCAGTGCCTTCCACCTGAGCTCGCTCGCGCAGAAAAACGCTGGCTTGGCAGCGATTCTCGAGAAACACATCAAGGATTCACAGATTTAAATCTTGTCACACGTTCCACCTTGTCTGTTTCATTTTTTGATCCGCTCAGATTTTCAAAAGTGTTAGTCATACATTCCACCTTTTTTGCGCTGTTCAAAATGTTGTTCTCATTTGTTTCGTCAGGGCATTGGATTTTAGTCAGCATGAAAAGTAAACCGGGATGTAATTGATGAGTAAATCTTCAAGAGAGCTGGCTTGTGTGTTAATTTGCTCCGTGGCTGTTGCTGTCTCAATCAGCAAGCTTGAAGCGCCAACTAATCAAGAGTTCTGTGAAAACGGATCAACATACATGTCATGTGAGGACAAACGTGGGACACCAAGGTACTGATGAGCATGGCATGGAAACGTGAAACAGCCATTGGTGTGGCACGCATGTATAGAACATCTATCCACCATGAATGGTGGCTCAAGCAACGCGACCAAAAGGTGCGAACCATGTTTTGCTGCCAGTTGTGGACCACTTTCACACTGGTGAGCGGAGCTGACCGTTCCAAGGGCTTTGGTGGCCCAACTACGCCTGTGAGCGCACTGCGCGCTTTGCTGCGAGGCGCAATGGCCTTGCTGGACACCTTCCGCTACGTGAACTTCATCCATGCGGAGGATGTGGCAACGAACACTGAGTCCAAAGGTGGTGGCCTTCCTCGATATGGTGGTGAGCCCCAGAAGCTGAGCGAGTACAGCTGGCGGGTGAGAGCCAGAATGACTCGTGAGGCGCTGTTACCTGAAGAAGAACAAAAAGAAACTGGGCCCCCTAGGACTGAGGTTGGTTGAAGGACTTAGTGGTTCTGCTCTGAGGATAGCCCAGTTAATTGACACAACAGAATTAGCTGGGGAAAAGGGTGCTGAAAAGTTGTTGGATAGGTTGAATGAAACCCTGAAGCCGAGAAGGATTCAGGAAGCGCGAGAACTGTATATGGCAGGTGCTCAGCAGAATGGCATGCTCAGCCGTCAACAAGGCGAACTGATGGGCACTTACCTTGTCCGTCGACAGGCCTGGTATCAGGCGATGGAGGACCTCAACAAGGACCTGAAGCTCCCTGACCTGATCTTGGCCGAGCAGACCTTGACCAACGCTGGCATCACCGAGAACATGCAGCTGCTGATTCGATCAGCCCTCCAAGGTGACATGACCCTGGAAAAGGTCTCTGTGGAGCTGATTGCGCAGCACTCCAAAATCCACGAGCGTGAGTCCCGCAACTCTAGCAACCGCTTCAAGGGCGATGGCAAGTCTTGGAAGCACCATGGACACCGACACCAACGACATGGATATGTGGCTGAAGAATATGGTGATTGGAATGATGCTGAAGCCTACGCTTCCTATGACCCTGTGGTTGAGGACGCTTATGAGTATGTGGAGACAGCGGACCCTGAGTATGAGACCTACATGAGCAATGCTGGCGCTGATGAGTGCCAAATTTTGGCGATGATGGCTGCTGATGGCTTGGACATGGATGACGAGGAGTCGATGGACTACGCTGCTGAGGTGATCCAAGCTGACATGGAGGCCTACTTTGCCCGTGACCGTGCGATCAACAAGGGCATCAAGGGCTTCAAAGGTGGCAAGAACAAGGGCAAGGGCACGAAGCATTTTGATGTTTCTGGCCAGCTGTCTTTGACCGAAAGGCAGCAACGACTTCAAGTTTTGAAGAGCCGCACAACTTGCCGACGATGTCATCAAGTTGGACATTGGAGCGGTGATCCAAGTTGTCCTAAGGGCTCTGGCAAGGGTAAGCCTTCCGCTTCCCCATCCACCAAGGGTGACAAGGGATCCAGCAAGTCACAGCCTAAGAGCCGCACTGTTTACTTTGCAGTTCAAAGGCCACAAGATGATGATGATGACCAATGCTACATGGCTCAACGCTATCATGCAGTTCCTCCACCGAGCAGTTTGCAAGATGGCTTCATGACGCCGCAGGCGACACCTGTGACGACACCAGTTCCCACGCCTGACAGGCGAAATCTGGATGACCAGCTGGTGCCAGTGACTCAGGTTTCTGAAGGTGCAGTTTTGACGCAGGACGATCTGGACAACTTCATGCTGGTCAGCGCACTTGGCGTTTCTGAGACCAGAGATGATGGGCGAGTGATCTATGAGGTGCCTGAGGAGTTGGCTGGCTATGGACTTCCTGCTGGACTTTCTGGAGGTGGACTTCAAGAGTTTTTGCATGGACTTCCACGACTCCCTGAGCCTCTTGGACTTCCTGACCTATCTGGTCGCATGGCTCCTCATGATGCTCCTGCTCCTGAACCTGTTCAAGATCTACCACAATCTGCTGCTGCGCCGAAGGCATTGTCACCGATGCCCAATGGACCGCCTGGAGATGATCCTCCACGTCCTGATGTTCCTCCTTGTGAGCATTTGCGCACAACCAGAAGTGGCACCAACGCCTACTACAACATGCTGCGATGCTTGGATTGTGGACATGTGCTTCAACGTGAACGACGCACTGCCACGACCACTGCAACTCCAAAAGCTGCTGGACATGTTGGAAGTGTTTTCAACCCCGGCCTTGTGGACTGCCAACACCACTCAGTCACATGGGCTGGCACCAACGCTTTTCGTTGGCGACGAACCTGCCGAGCTTGCGGTGAAGTTCGTACTGGACCTATTGCTGGCTCAGAGAGACTCAGATCGACTTCAACCTCTGGCCATGGACTTTCGGCCTCGAGCACTGGTCATGGACTTCCTGCTCAGGCGCCTGGACTTAGCCTGCAGCGACCAGTGCGAGTCTCTTCCTTTCCGATGCTCATTCAGGTGATCCAACATGCCCTGAATGCCAGAGCCAGCATGCCACAAGCTGATTTTGTCAGCTCAGCCGAGCTGCACATGTTGCTGGACTATGCCATTGGGGTCACATCGATCCATGAGCTTGAGACTGGCCAGACCACTTTGGATTTGCGTGGTTCTGCCCAGCCATCTATGACTTCTCCGGCAACAACACCTGTGCCTGGAACCCCTGCAAGTTCCTCCCATCAGAACCTTTTGAGATCTCCTGCCTCCCAAGCTGAACATCTTGAAGACCTTGGACAACAACATGTCACTTTTGGCAAGTTCAAGGGGCAGACGTTCTACCAAGCTTGGTGTGATCGCAGCTATGTCGACTGGGCATTGGAGGAGGAAGACAACACCAAGCGATCTGGCAAGACGATTGGTAGTGGCCTGAAGCAACTTTGTCACTACTTTCGAGAGATGCAGCGTCGCCCTTCTCCTGCTCCTTCGGCTGCTGAATTTATGGCCATGAAGGAGAATTTTGGTTCTGAAGATGACCTCATTGCTATCCTCGACACTGGATGCAATGCTACATGCCATGGCAGCCACTGGTACGACAAGTTTGTGAAAGCAACTGGCTGTCCTGAGGTCACTTTGGGCAACTGTGCTGGTTCCAAGATGAAAGGCATTGGTGGCAATCTGCGAGTTGGCGGCCAGAGACTCCTTGAAGTTTGTTTTGAACTGAGCTGCGGAAGTTTTGCAAGAGGCACTTTGCCTTCTCTGGAGCTCATGGACTCTCAAGCTCTACTTCTGCTCAGCCTTGAGTCTCAGCGTCAACTTGGTTTCCAGATTGACATCGCCAACAACGTTGTCTACAGCACCACCCTCAAGAGCAAGCTGAAGCTGGTTCAACGTGATGGCCTTCTTGCCATCCGACTGATTCCAAGCTACATTGGTCTGAAATGCACAATCAATGAAGTGAAGATGGCCAGGTTTTCCACGACTACATGATCAATGAGCCTGGCTCTGACGAACAAGATCTTCAACAAGATCTACAACAACCTGACCAAGAACATGGCACTGAGGCCAACCATGATGAGGATGAATGGAATGAAGATGGACATGAACTCACACCTGAGGTCCATCTGGCTGTCGATGAGCTCAAGATGACCACTCTCACCAAAGGTCAGAAGAAGCAGCTCTCCCAGACCATCAACGAGGTCAAGGACAAGGACAGCCATCTTTGGAATTGTCTGCGATCGACCAAGGGCCTGAGCCGACAGCCCTGAATTTTGCCTCGAGGATGCCGCACCTTCCTGCTGGAGATTTTTGCCGGTGCAGCCCTCCTTTCATTTTTGGCCACAGAGATTGGTCTTTCTGTTTCGCAGCCTGTTGATGTTACGTACGATGGCATCAACTTGAAGAACAAGCACCATCGAGACCTCATCGATCAACAGATCGAGCGTGATGATCCCTACTGCATCAGCCTGTCTCCAACCTGCGGACCATGGTCTCCTTGGCAACACATCAACATCGCCAAGGACCCTGACTTCGAGATGAAGCTGCATGAAACCTGCCGTGAATGGCGACCTGTGGTCCAATGGATGACTCAGCTGATCAGAAAACGTCTGGCAAGAGGACGTCAAGTGATCTTCGAGCAGCCGTGGCCTTCCAAGATGTGGGATCTTCTTTCAATGCAACGCCTTGTACAAGATGCTCCATGCGATGCAGCGACAGGTGAACACCTTGAAGCTGTGCGTTGTGATCAGTGCATGTTTGGTTTGAAAGATGCTGTCAACCACGTGCCCCACAAGAAACCAACTGGCATCACGACAGCATCAGCTGGTGTCAAGGAGTTCATTGGTGTCAGATGCTCTGGTGATCATCAACATCAACAACTTGAAGGTTCCAATCGAACTCACCGAGCTCAACAATGGCCCATGGACTTTTGCAAGGCCATGATCACTGGACTTTTGCGTGATCTTGAGCTCAGCATGACCAAACTGGCCTTTCCAGCTGAAGCGATGATTGAAGAAAACCCATGGGCAGTTTGGACATGATTCATGATGCCTCAGACTTGGCACCTCCTGGACTTGAACAACACCGCACTGATGAGATCGAGTTGAAAGGCGAAGAAGATCGCCAAGAACGAGATGATGCAGTAGCTGAAGATGATGCTGTGAGGAAGCAAGAATGGATGAAGCTTCCCTACTCCCAGCGTGTGGCCGTCAGAAGGCTTCATCAGATGACTGGCCATGCGAGCACTTCAGCTATGGCAAGAATGTTGCGTGTTGCAAGAGCTTCTCCAGAAGTCATCCACCGACTTCGACACTTCAAATGCGAAGCCTGCCTTCAGAACAGAAAGCCTCAGCCTCGACCTGTTGTCAGGCCACCCAATCCATATGTTTTCAACTATGAAGTGACAGCTGACGTTTTTGAATGTCGCGATGCACTTGGCAATCGCTATAGTGTGCTGAGCGTGGTTTGCATGGGAACGCTCTATCACTGTGCTTGGGTGGTGGCAGAAGGCGGAGGTACACCATCAAGTTTGAAATGTGCTGAAGTTTTTCGAGATGGCTGGCTTCAATTTGGACCTCCAAGGTTTATGACGGTGGATCGAGGAGTTCACAACCGTGGACAGTTTGCAGCCCTGATGTCCTCTCAAGGGACTTACCTGCGCTATGCAGGGACTGAGGCACACCACCAGATTGGCCGAGCTGAACGACAAGGCTCCATCCTCAAGGAGATGATTGCCCATACAGTTCAAGGACGGCATGTTGTTGGTTCACAGATGATGCGCATGGTGGTGACTGAATGTGCCTTTGTCAAAAACAACAGAGTCAACCATGGCGGCTTTTCACCAAGCCAATGGGTCTTGGGACGTTTGCCTGAAGAAGTTTGCAGTTTGACAGCTGAACGCTCTGAAGGTGAACTTGGTGTGCATCAAGAAATTCTTTCTGGTGAACATCAATTTGCGCAGCAGCTCAACATACGTCAAGCAGCCAAGGAGTCTTTTGCACATGTTGACTCCAGCAACCGGGTTCGATCGGCATTGATGAGACGCTCAACACCATGCCGTGGACCTTACTTTCCTGGTGATTTGCTTTGCTTCTTCAGAAACAAGAAATGGTTTGGTCCTGCCAGGATGATTGGCAGAGAAGGACGCTCCAACCTCTGGCTGATCCATGGCGGCATTCCCATTGTTGTCGCTGAGGAGAGTGTCCGACCTGCTCTGGCTGGAGAAGTGCTTGCCAAGCAAATCACTGAGCTGCGACCTTCCAGAAAGCGCAAAAGGCAGATCACTCAGGATTTTGACCCTGATTTGCCCTTCTTTGATGACTTGAACGTTCTGGAAGATGAAGCAGGACATGATGGTGACGATGGCTCTGGATCCGGTCCTGGATCCTACTTCCACTTGGGCCGTGGTGGTGGTGATGGACTTCCTCCTGGACTTTCCTCTGACCAACCTCCACAAGCTGGTTCTCAGCCTGCCCAACCTGAGCCTTTGCCTGATGATGCCAACGAGTACTCACCTGGTACTCCTGTTGCTGAGGAGGACACAACCATGCAACCTGAGGCCTTGCCTGATGGACTTTCTCCAGATGGTACTTCCCAACCGCCTCCTGGACTTGAGGCTGTGCCATCTGAGTCGCCTGGACTTGCGACTGAGCTGCCTGGACTTGCAGCTATGCCTCCACCGTTGCATCCTCCAACAGCTGGCATCAACACTGATCTTCCTGCAGTGCCTTATGATGACTTTGATGAACTGATGCAGGAAGCTCTGTCACCAGATCAACCTCAACAACAAGAAGCTGAAACACGTGGCCGCTTGCCCACAGTTTCTGAGATTGAGCCTGACCAGGAGATGGTTCCCGACACTCCTGCTGTCAACACACCTGCTCCAAACACACCTCGTGAGCCGACCGTGACTCAACTACAAGAGGCCATGAGAAGATCTGTCAACGCTCTTGACGGACATCCCAGACGCAACCGCTCCAGGTCACCTCCAAGAGCGATGTTTTCCACTCAGAATGAGAAGCAGAAACAACAAGGCTCCACCTTGCATGGATTCATGGGACGACGTGCGCCCAAGAAGAACATCCAACGAAAGCTTGAAAAGGAGCTCAACTACAACCGTGCTGCTGATGATCTCAAGGGCCGAATTGACGAAGCCCGCACCAAGGAGTGGAACAACTGGCTTGGATTTGATGCCTGCGAAGTGATCCCTCCTGAGAAAGCTCAACAGTTTTTGCAAAAGAATCCTGGAGTTCAAGTTGTTCCAACGCGATGGGTTGATATCAACAAAGCTCGCCAAGGCGATCCTGAACACCTCAAGTCACGACTTGTTGTACGTGGCGACCTTGAACGTAGTGCTCAGAATGGTGAAGTCCGCACTGACTCGCCTACTGCAAGTCATTTGATGTTGTCAGTTTTGTTGACATTTGCATCATGCCACAGCCTCATGCTTCACTGTGGCGACATCACCGCAGCTTTTCTTCAAGGTCTTGGACTTGCACGAGTCCTTATCATGTCTCTCCCCAAGGATGGTGTTCCAGGAGTTCCTGCTGGAAGTTTGTTGGTTGCAAAGAAGCCTGTTTACGGAACAAAAGATGCTCCACGTGGATTTTGGAGATCACTGCGCAAAACCATGTTGGCAGCTGGTTTTCGCCCCGTTCCTCATGAACGTGCTGCCTATGTTTTGAACACACCTGATGGCAAAATCGATGGACTTTGCATTTGTCATGTTGATGATTTGCTTTGGTGTGGTGGTCAACAGACCCAAGATGCCATGAAGTTTGTGCAAGAGAAGTTGAAGTTTGGAAAAGTTGAAGATACTACCTTCCGGTACTGTGGACGCACAATTGCGCAGACCGATGAAGGTATTGTGGTTCAATGCCCTCATGGACTTGAGAAAACACGTCCTGTGATGATGAGCACTGGACGCAAGCGCGACCGTGCTGCGCCTGCAACGCCTGAAGAACAAGCTCAACTTCGAAGCGTTCTTGGATCACTCAACTGGATTGTCCGAGTTTGCCGACCTGACCTAGCCTATGACACCAACCGGCTCCAGACATGCGTCCAGAAGCCTGTGGTTCAAGACCTGATCGATGCCAATTCCTTACTGCGACGTGCGCAGATGACCAAGGATCAGAAGCTGGTCTATGGATGGAAACAATTTGACTTCGACAAGCTGGAGATCATGTCGATCACCGACGCAAGCCATGCAGCTGACTTTGCGCTGTCAGCATCTGGTGAGAAGATGGGTTATCGGTCACAGTCTGGCCGACTTCTTGCTGTGGGTGGACCTGAAGTGATGACTTCCGGTCGTGGACACATCCACCTGCTGGAATGGAAAAGCCAGGTGATTCGAAGAGTCTGCCGCTCGACTTTGCAAGCCGAATCGCTGAGTATGCTCACTGGGTATGAGGATGCAGAACATCTACGAATGGTTCTACATGGACTTCGAGTTCCTCACGATCCCAGGTCTTCAGCATGGCAGATTGACTCAAAGGACGCTATCAAGCTCCACAAGGTGACTGACTGCAGATCCTTGCAGGATCATTTGCTGCACAGCTCTGGCGGAGAAGTTCAAGACAAAAGGCTGGCGATTGACCTATGCGGAATGCGCCAAGTTGTCTGGCGTGAAAACGGAGAAGAATTTGGAGATCCAATGATGAATGAGAGCGTTCCGGCTGATGGGACTACAAAGGTCCGATGGTGCGACACAAAGACCATGTTAGCTGATGGTCTCACAAAGCATATGGACACGACTGAATTGCGAGCAGTCATGTCTGGCCGTGAAATCACCATGGAATTCACGTTTCATGCCAAAAGAAAGACGGATGTGAAAACGGATCAACATACATGTCATGTGAGGACAAACGTGGGACACCAAGGTACTGATGAGCATGGCATGGAAACGTGAAACAACCATTGGTGTGGCATGCATGTATAGAACATCTATCCACCATGAATGGTGGCTCAAGCAACGCGACCAAAAGGTGCGAACCATGTTTTGCTGCCAGTTGTGGACCACTTTCACAAGTTCTCTCCCACAATTTCGGAGTCTGTGCCATCAACAGTACTCGTTCTTTCGCCATGGTTCCCATGCTGATCTTTCTGCTCCTGGCATCGCCTGCTTTGGGAATTCGATTGGATGGTTCCGTTGGCGCCGTTGAAGTACCAAAGAAGGGAGAGACTCGGAAAACTGATGTGTCTATATGTGTCTATATGTGTCTAAGTTTTGTCCCAAAGTTTTTCAACTTTGTGTGAGGTAGTAGACTTCCAAGCCCCAGAATCTTGAACGAAACGGACGTTTGAGTGGAGGGGTTGGATATTTTTTGGATCAATCATGAATCAGCAAAGGACAAATGTGAATGCCCTGGAAAGAATTGCTGTGGAGATGACTCATTGGTATGCGACGTGAAGACTCGCACTTGTAAACCAAGCCTCGGTAGTCTCTGCTCGTCGAATTATTTCTTCACAGAGTGCGCGAGTAAAGACACCTACAACGTCAGCACTGAGTGCGCACTAAGTGCAGCGGGGTATCATAGATGCTGTATCAAGAGTGGTCAGCCTCTTTTTGCCTGCGCCGTCTTCGCCTAGTTTCTTAGCTTTCTGGCCGCGTCGTTGGAAGAAAAAAGGGCACTGGTTCATTTCCGCCAAGATTCCTTTCTTCCAGCAAGTGTGATCGCAAACATTGATGGTTAATTTTGACAAGACTTTATTTCATAATAGCGGTGGCAGCGGTGGGCATTGCTAGACACCCAATAAGAGGCGGCGTCATAGTGAAGGAAGGTCAAAATCTTGAGACAGGTGCCCCAGCTCAGACTTGGGGACCGCACGCGGGCTTTGTCAATATCGTCATGTTGTATTGGGTCGCCTCGGCTTTTGGAAAAAATGAGTTCCCGTGATTGCTTGAAACTGCAAGTATCGCGTTTTTGTTTTGATGGGGTATGTGCTCATACAGCTCTTGTTGGAAAACATTCACTCACCTATGTCTGCACCCTTAACCCCAAGCTCGTGCAAATCACCAGTCCCAGCATCCCTCTTTGACCATGTTTTAGAGGAAGGTTGCGGTCCTTGGTCTTAACTTGGCTGGTCCAGGCAATGAAAAAAGCGAAGGCGGGATCAGCACAGCTTTGTTTTGCACAAAAGCGGTCCATGCCATGTAGATGGGAAGCACCTTAGAGCTTGACCGACTTATTCATGGTCGCAACTCCTAAACCTCCGAAGTCAGTCGCCTCAGCCCATAGATCCAGGGTTTGTGTCGAAACAAAAGGGAGACAGGACGTGATCCCCAATGGACCAAGAGGTTCTGCCTCTTACGTGAAAGCCTAGGCAAGCAAAGCTGTTTGATGCGTTTTCAATGGGATTTTCCTGCGGGTATCTAGGGTTTAAGTCGTCATTGACTCATCCCACATGCATTTGTTTACCACGAGAGCTGTTTCGCAGGTAGCAGTTGATGCGTTTCTCGACGGGCCGATCTAGTGCCATCCCAGCTTTCCACTTGACTGTGGAGAAGTATGACGTGATGGGGATTGAGATATAGACACCATCATTTGCAGATGCTTTCTTGTGACTTGCATCAGTCTAATACCGATTTTTGTTCGAAGCACAAGCATAGGAGTGACTTGCAGCCTCCGACCAATCTGAGATGACAATGTTTCATCGGTAGCACTCAGATTCCCTACATCGAAGGTGCTTGTGGGGCTGAAGATTTGACAGAATGATTTGAACGCCCGAAGTATGCAGCTGTTTGTTGCCTCACTATGAGACCAAGTGGGACTTTGATTTGCGCAACTGCCACTTCTCAGAGTCGGTTTGGACGCTGTCCGGCCTGTCACCCAAAAGCGTCCTGTGAGAATGCACGCCGCTAATGTTACGCAAAGGCGTTGATGTAAGGCCGACCCGGCCGTCCCTGGGTTTAGCTGGTTCTGATGCTCCAGTGTTGCCGCGATGCATCCGAGTAATGCCGGGTCGCGCAGGCCAGAGTGCTAAAACTCCGGAAATAGCTATACATGTTGTATTTGCAGGCCAGAAACCACAGTGCGGAATAGACTATCATCGCATTTTTTGACACCAAGATGTTAAATCTTGTGACATCAATTCATTTGAAACGCTTTCGAGCCGCAGTGAGGCCCCTTGTGTAGGCTCTGCCTTTTGTTTGGGCAGCAGGTTTGGGAATGAGCACAATACCTCACATCTTTCGGCACTGGGCATTTCTTAGTGCAGGGGTGGTCAGTGAGGTCTGGCGTTGGTGCCGCGGAACAATCCATTGCTGGAGCGTGCTGGGACATCTTGCCATGTCGCTCAACTGCAATTGTTGCTTTTCCCCCGTCGTTGATGGAACAGGGTTGATATATACCGTTATAATTGAATATAAGTTGAGATTGCATCCAAATTCAGAAGCGTCTTTCCGCTATTTTTCTTGGTTCTATGGAGTCTATGGTGGGGTCAGTGGGACTTGGAGGGGTCGTGCTGTTCTTGTCAAGCTGAGGTATTCGTAGATGCCGACAGCGCCAGAGCAGAATTGTCGACAGGACTTCGAGATGCAAAAAGGATTGTCCCCCAGGGGTCGCGAATACATGAGCCATGCCTGGTTTATGGTTGTTAAATCTGGACTGTGTGAAGCTTATCATACATGGATGCCAAAATTATAACCAAAGGTGATTAAAGTTATATTCAAACATCAAGTTGGACCAGGATTTTTGTTGCCAACAATAGACGCATTTTGTGGCCGTTTGCAGCTGAGTGGCTGTTGGCCCTTTGAGTTAGGGCGGCACAAACAGAGATGACACATGGTGTCGTAGAAGCAGGAACTTCTTCAAGCAGGAACAAAAAACATGGGACGCACACGGAGTTTGAATAGGACATTATTCCTGAGAACAAAATTGCTGTAAGCGATACCCTAATAACCTGGATGCTTAATAAAACCATCAAATGACATCATCGAAAATGGCGCTTGCATCTCTGATCATTTGTTGTCTGAATGGTTTTCCAGAATTTAATGGAGGAAATCTGATCAGTGCCAGTTTTAGTCAGTTGATGTGCATTTCGATCTTGGCATCTTTGGACCATGGCTTCAAGAATCCTGGGGCCGTTGTTGCAACGGAGTGTCGCAGACCATTTCGATGTGTCCAGTCAGGAACCTTAGCGATTTGGGAGGGCTAGATTGCTTGCCCAGGGTCTCTGTTGATCGCATGGTAGTTTAGTTCTTTCATGTATTTTTGCATTAAAATATGATCTGAAATAAGCAAACGTTTTGTACTGGATATGTTCTCGATGCATTCGCATACTACGGGGAACATCATGTTTACTGATGGCAGAGTGAGGCTGGACCCCAGATGCCAGTCATACCAGGTATCTAACATGGAATTTAGGCACCATGGGTTGACTGTTTCATCATGTCAAGTTTAAAATTAAAGGACCGGATAACCCCACATGTCAACTTCTTCCAATAAGTTGCAAAAGAAAGGTGAAAACTGGATGGGAAAGGCAAAAAAGAGACAGGAGATGACGGAAGGCAGATTGTGTGAAACAGGTACGTACGAGAGAGTTGCGCGTGAGAGAGTTGCTTGTGAGAAGGTTGTGTGTGAGCAAGTTGTGTGTGAGAAAGTGTGTGTGAGTTGCGTGGAGATGGTGGAAGAGAGATTGTGTGAGGGTGAGAGAGTTGTATGTGAAAGAGTTGTGTGTGAAATTGCTGTGTGGCATGTGTGGCCAAAGACAGTTGCGCCAAGACCATAGAGAGCGGTCTTGGCTGCAAAGAATTGTTGCTGACAGACTGCTGCCCGGACCGTCATGAAAACTGACGGTTCGTCGCAGGTGTCTGCGGCAGGCCGCCGCTTGCCACGTAGCGACGGGAGCACGTGCACGATGAAGCAAGTGAAAACACACGAAAAGAAAAAAGTTGAGTTCTGGAGCATTTCATTGACAATCCTGTGACCCTCGAACAGGTGCACTCAGCGATGATGGCCTGTTGACTCGGTCCAGTATTGAGCACTCAACAGCATCTTGCAAAAACAAAAAAAGGTCGAATTCCAAATGTGGCTCGAGGGGATCAAAAAGAGCCGATTTCCATGAAATAAGTCAACTTTTCAAACCAGATATCAAAACCCCATTGGATGTAAATTTAGATATCAAATGCTCCTGCAGGTTTTCATTTAAGGTTTTTTTACGCTGCCTCATGAATTTCCCCCAACATGCCATGGTTCAGGCATTTAGGGAAAGTGAAGATGCACCTGCGGGCTGGTCCTGAGGGGAAAACTTCTGATTTTTTTTTATTGGTTCCAAGTATATATCCAAATGCACCGAAGATATCGATGTATGACAGATTAGGACAAAGCCTGACTGGGCACCATGTCTCCTTGGGCGATGTATTTTCAACGGGGCCGGACCATGGTACCAAGTGCTGCCAAGAGGGTCACCGACAACGTGGAGTGAAACAAAGAATTTGCCAGTCTGTTGATGGTCGTTCGTCGCATGCCGCAGAGGTCGATATGGCTCATGCTGACGAATGAGGTGCCGGAGTCGGAGATTGCGGCGGTGTTTCAGAACATCTTTTTTCGGATTTGGACAAGGGAAAGCCATAAGACTCACAGGGGCATGGGACATTCATGCTGAACTCTTTTGGAGACTTGTTTTTTTCGATTCCTAAATTTCCATTATGACATTGTTATGAGTGATTGATGGGAAATCCCAATATGAAATCCATTAACGTGCTCATCGAATTTCGGGCTGCGCGTCCCCTTTACATCACCCCCAGGCTGCTCTTCGCGACTTGCTGGCCAAACACCAGTGCCTGGCCGATCAAGTTCTCGTGTCCATCTTGTGAAGAAGTTCACCAAAAACTCAAAAACATTCAACAACTCATTCTGCATCATTTTGCCCATGGCTTTGTTACTTGAACGGTGGATTGTGACAATGAGTCGTGTGACTTCCAGGGAACTCATTATATGATAGTTTTGTCACTTCCCATTTGCATGTAACTTGTTCCTGCTTTTCTTGGTGGATTGTTGATGATTCTTGGGCAAAATGTCCCTCTTCTGATACCATCATAGCATATCATAGCTACATAATGTGCGTAAGCCCATGTCATATCATACAATCTATACTCAGCATACACATCACGTCAAACTGTAGCCTGAGTGATACAGAAATTAAATCAATCCATCACAATCCCCAACGACGTTTGGCACGCTTTTGCCACGGTAATTTCCAAGCCTTTGGTACAGCAACGCCCTTTGGACTTGGTATAGCCCCCTTATCGATTTCTAATTCCATAGTTAATTTCTAATTTCTAATAGTTGATCATCGTTATTGTTGGGAATAGCCATGCTCGGGTGATTCCAGATAGCTTCCACATGAAGCCCAGTGAGGCTAGTGGCGCTAGTGGCACAGCCCCATTATTTTTTCCCCTGTGGGAACTATGATTCAACCATCTTCATCGTTAATTCGGTCCTGCCTCCCCCACTAGCAGTTCAAAACTGCCGCCCCTTCATAAACCACATACCAAAAAAACAGAATCATATTGATGGTAACTTAGGCCATTTTAGGGATATTCAGGGTTTTAGAATGTTTTAGAAGGGGAAACCGTGAACTAGATGACCGGTATGAGTTACAAATGGTGGAATCATGAAACCAAAAGGGTCCCAGCCCAATGTGAATTTTATGGTTTGTAGTTTGTGGTGCATTGTGTTTTTTTTTGGCCATGAACATTGGCTGGCTCCACCATCAGGGATTGAGATGGTTCTGTGCCTACTGGAAGTCAGCTTGCTGGAAATGGCAATGATATGGTATGATAATGCAAGGTGTTGTTTCGGTATGACAGGCGGCCTGTGTTTCATTTTTTTGTAAAGACATGATGTTTTTTGTGTTTAATTTTGCTTTTCTGGTGCTCCAGAGCACCAAAAAAAGCACAAAAACACGCGTCACAGCAGAAAAAAATAACAAACAACCACAAGTCATACCACCAAAAGTATCACAAAAAACTACAAGTCTTACCACAAAAACCATCACACAAAACACAATGCATACCACACACATATCAAAAAACAACACACGTCATACCACAAAAAAAATATCACACAAAAAACACAAGTCATACCGCAAAAAAAAAAACACCAAAAAAAACAAATCACACCAGGAAAACAACAGAACAAAAACGCAAGCCATACCAGAAAAAAACACAACAAAAACACAAATCATAGCAGAATAAAAACACGAAAAATACAAAGTCATTCTGTGCCTGTTTTCTGCTTTATATAGTTTCGTTTTTTTGGGCTGCTTTTGGAAAGTTGCTGGTTTTGAAGCATTTTCCATTTGCCAGCCCCGGCCCAGCAGCCCCCCAGCCCCCAGGCTAGAGATGGGCATGTGGATTACTGTTCGTTCTCCATTGCTTGGCCAATACTCAAAATCACCACGACAACAATCGCAAAACACACGACAACAGGAATCATAACAACAGACATGACCATCATGGGTGATGAACCACCATAGAATTTTGGGAGCTGCTAAGGCGGGAAACCTTGAAACTGCCAAAATCAAAAGAAATTCTGTAGGTTCAAAATTCACCAGAGTTGAACACAAAGTCGACGCCAAAGTTGGCACAAAGTTTAGCAGTCCAAAAAAGGTTGACTCAAAAGTTGACGACGCCCATGTCTGGTCGATGTTTGGTCATTTTTGACGTTTGGTCGATCTTTGGTCCAGATTTGGTCGAGGTTTGGTCGATGTTTTTGTGTTTAACTGTTTTTGGTGTTTCTCGATGTTTGGTCATGTTTTCGAACCATGCCTCAATTATTTCTGGAACTTTGATTTGTTTTGCCAACTTTTTAAACCTTGAACTTTGCTATCAACCTTGTTTGGAACTTTGAATTTTTGTGCCAAACTTGCTTTGGCCGTGATTTTTTGTTGCGTAAACTTTTGTATTTTTTTGCCTGCACATTTTGTGCCAGTGTTAAAATCTATATTTTAATGGCTCATCTAATTATGTAGAAGATCTGCTGTCGTGGCAATATATTTTTCAAAACAATAGTATTGAAATCCACCATTAAACCAACGGTAGACTGAGTGAGTGAGGTTTTCGGGGCTATCAATAATAATTGATGACAATGACGAGGACGATGGCGATGACGATGGCAATGACGATGATGATGATGATGATGATGACGATGATGTTGCTGCTGATGATGACGACTTGGCGTCTGAATTCCATTGGCTGTAAATATGCGGTATTTTCTGCTGCAGGTGAAGAAAAAGGGCCTGGTTACAGCATGATCTGATCAGATACCAATTCATTTTGAACGATTTTTGTGGTGTTCATTTTGTGCTGCCCACTGTTATAGCAACAAGGGCCCATCAAAGATATAGCTACCACAAAACACATGTATCATTATTTATCATGGATGATAACCATCAAAATGATGAATTGAATGGTATCACGTATAAATACAATCTTATACAACAATTGTAATATCAACTATGTTCATTTTCATGAAAAGATATAACTACCACAATACTTATCATTGTCTATCATGGATGACGGTGATGAACATCCCGCCATGAACTGCCGATCCAAGGCCAGAACTGGCTCCACGACTGGCGCGCCGTCTGGCCCAGTTGCCGCCGCAACATGTCACAGCTTTGTTGGCCGAAGGCCCGAAGCTCGGGGCAGTGGACGTTTATCAACCGACCAAAACGGGGATAAAACTGCCGTAATTCACCATCCAAGACTAGCAACAAACATTTATAATTTTATAATGTAAAAAATGATCGAAGGAAGTTTAGAAGTCAGACTTCCGACAATATGGACAGATGAAAAGCAGAGATGGGAAGAGTCAGAGAGAAGAGAAGAGTAGAAGAGAGAAGATCAGAGAAGAGAAAGAGTGAGAAGAAAGAAGATGCAGATGCGCGAAAAGGTAGGAAAGTCGCGAAACACTGTGTTTTCCAATGATTTGTGGCTCTGGAGGGTCGAAAAGTAGGCTCGCTAAAGCGGCGGGTGCGGAGCCATCTGGCCAGATGAGAGATGAAAAAGTGCACGCCGTTGTGGCGCGAAGCACATTTCCAAGTCAAAATGCACAAAACACACCAGGTTCAGACCACTTTTGGCAGTTGAGATGTCGAAAAAGTGCACGCCGTTGTGGCGCGAAGCACATTTCGAAGTCAAAATGCACAAAACACCTCGGCTCCGGACCACTTTTACTAGTTGAGATGTCGAAAAAGTGCACGCCGTTGTGGCGCGAAGCACATTTCCAAGTCAAAACGTACAAAACACACCAGGTTCGGACCACTTCTGGAAGTTGAGATGTCGAAAAAGTGCACGCCGTTGTGGCGCGAAGCACATTTCCAAGTCAAAACGCACAAAACACCTCAGCTCCGGACCGCTTTTACTAGTTGAGATGTCGAAAAAGTGCACGCCGTTGTGGCGCGAAGCACATTTCCAAGTCAAAATGCGCAAAACACCTCAGCTCCGGACCACTTTTGGAGGTTCAGATGTGCTTCCGCGTGGCAGGCGCAAGGGATTGTGGACCTTGTCAAAAGTGAGCAAAACGTGAGGGTTTTCTAGCATTTTCAACTACAACCACCACTACACCACACTACACTCCAATATCCTACCTACACTACAACTACAATCTTCACTACAATCTTCACTACACTCAATGACACTACACTACACCACACCACACTACACTACACTACACTACATTCCACTACACAACACTACATTACACTACACTCCACTACACTACATTACACTACACTACGCTACACTACCTTCCACTACACTACATTACACTACACTACACTCCACTACATTACAACTACACTACACTACATTCCACTACACTACACTGCACTCCACTACACTTAATTACACTACACTACACTACATGGTCCACTCCACTCCACTACACTACACCCAATTACACTACACTACATAACACTACACTACACTACATTCCACTACACTACACTACACTACACTAATTACACTACACTCCACTCCACTACACTACACTACACCACACTACGCTACGCTACACTACACTACCTTCCACTACACTACACTACCCTACCCTACATTACACTACACTGAACTGAATGACACTGCACCACAGATAGACAGGTAGACAGATAGACAGATAGATAGATAGATAGATAGACAGGTAGACAGGTAAACAGATAGACAGATAGACAGATAGACAGATGAGAGAGAGAGAGATAGATAGATAGACAGACAGATAGATAGATAGATAGGTAGATAGATAGACAGATAGATAGATAGATCGATAGGTAGATAGATACATAGATAGATAGGTAGATAGATAGATAGATAGGTAGGTAGGTAGGTAGTCAGAGAAAGAGAGAGAAAGAGAGGAGACCTCAAGCACCTTTCGGTCCATCAGTGGATTCGCTCTGCCATCCGTGATTCACAAAAACCTATCTCTCCTATAGGTTTCAAATTTTTGAAACTTCCGCCATCGCCTTGTGCGGTACTACTGGTAAATGGGCAAGTCGATTTATCTCCGAACAGATGTTAACAGATGTGTCATTGGCAGAGAGATTTCACCTGGGCATCCAATAAACATCAGGAATTCGTCCAAGAAAAACAGCGAACTATCCCAAAAACAGGCATTTTGCCGACACGAAAGGCAATTTATCCCAAAAAAAGTGGTTATGAATTTCGCAACCAAACGGAGTATTCTAAATGGTCATAATCAAACAACAAACAATGGTGATTTTTTGTATCGTTTTGAGATTCAAGCTGAAGCCCCAAAAGAAGGGGGTTGTAAGATGAATGTCCGAATCACAATAGCTATTGTTTGGTTTCCAAGGTTGATTTGGGAGATGAGAGAAATTGAAGAACTGTCTATAGTTGACATTTTTTCTTTGCGGAGGATGTTGTTTGATATTTTTCGTGTTTTGTCCTGATATTTTCCTTGGATCATGCTACCGTTTTTGTTTGATGAGTTCCTGGTTTCAGACTTCAATGGCCACTCTAGAAAGATGGGAAACACTGCGTTTCACCTTTTTTTTGGTTCAGATGTGTGAATCTATTTTTCTATGGCCAGATGAAATCAGATGTTCCAGGTGTCAGGCGAATCATTCGTTGCTGTGCGCGTTTTGCACAGGGGCGCATGTGAAGTCTGAGGTACCTGAAATGGCTAGCTGTACATGGTTGACTTAAATGAATGTGATATCGTGCAAATGGCCAAAAAGTGACTGGTTCTTGTTCCCAACAAAAACATGTTTTGTAAATGCCACAATTCCATCGAGGTTTTCCATTTGCAGCCGCGGAAACTCATCATGGTAAAACCACGAATTCCGGGATGTTCGTCGTGGTTATATGATATCGACGAAGTGTTTGCAATCAAATGTTTACCATGGTTAGCGCTTATCACTCATTACTCACCGAAATCAAACAGATCTCCAAAAAATATCAAAAAATTGGGTTGACTAGTCATAACCCCTTTTTGCAGGTAACCCATGGCAACCCCCTGCATCGTCATGTATCAAATTGGGGCGGAAGTTGCATTGGCTTTGTGGGACAGCAACGTTCGCCCCAATGTTTCGCATGTGGTGAGTTTATCGCCAGAACATCCAGAGAAACGATCTATTCCCATCTAAAACATTCAAAAAACCATCATAAACCATCATAAACCATCATAAACCATCATAAACCATCATAAACCATCGAAATTCCTTGGAACCTCAGCATTTTTTCGGAAAAAAGAGGTGCTACCTCCCAGCACCGCAGGTGCTGCTGCTGACTTGACTCCCGCCTTGCGGGAGGTCATTGACGTGGCGCTGGCGGAGGACCCGAGAAAAGATGCCACTTTTTTGTGGGAAAAACGACAAGAATTGGGATGTCACCAGTTGTTGAAGGATTTCGCCAGCAACGTGGAAAACTATAGAAAATTCAGCTATATAAGTAACAACAAATCTGATAGAACAGCAGGAAAAACAAGGCAGTGAACCTGTTCAACCAGCCATATGGGCGCATATCAATGGATGTCTGTAGGATAGAATGCTAACTGCACTGGTAGAGTAGCCGCTTAGCCCCAGAAAGACATGCGAATATAGATGGGTGAAGGGGTTATAACGGTTATATTCGTATTACCTGTTGAGCACTCCCGAATCTCCGAATTTCCGAATGTCCATCGCTTTCGTATGGCCACTATGGCCACCAATGGTGGAATAGACAAATGGATCAAATGGATGCACATCTGGGTACTGTTGGATGATTCATAGGTAAAAGATACATGATAGGAGCAAGTTGGAAATTCTGCTAGCCACGCCTAGTTTGCTTTCTATGACCATGTTTTAAGCCCCTTTTTCAAAGAATGGACAGTCAACCTGTGCCTCATGGTATTTCGAAGTCAAGCTTTCCGATGGAAGCCATGGCCTTCTGTCTATAGTTTCTGGATTTGCCGAATTGAAAAGGGTTGTGTGTTTTTGTTGCAGCAATTTGTTGTAAAGGTGTACCAGAGGGCGTATCATTTATCCGATTGATTCCAGTGATATTCCTATTGTAACATAGACCCGGGCAAGCCGGCGGCGGAAGTTTCCCAAACATAAATGACCTATAGTTCGAAGAAAAACCTGTCCCGACCGTGTCCTTCCCTCGACACTCCACACCTCACACTGCACACTGCACTCTTCGCACTCCAAACTTCAAACTTCACACTCCACACTTCACACTCCACACTTCTCACTGCTTCCTTCACACTCCAAACCTCACACTTCACACTTCACACTTCACACTTCACAGTCCACACTTCACACTTCACACTTCACAGTCCACACTTCACACTTCACTTTCACACTTCTCCACACTTCTCACTTCGCACTTCACACTTCACACTTCACACTCCACATTTCACACTTCTCACACTGCTTCCTTCACACTCCAAACTTCGCTTCACACTTCTCACTTCGCACTTCACACACTTCACAGTCCACACTTCACACTTCTCACTTCTCACTGCTTCCTTCACACTCCAAACTTCACACTTCTCACTTCGCACTTCACACTCCACACTTCACAGTCCACACTTCACACTTCTCACTTCTCACTGCTTCCTTCCCACTCCAAACTTCACACTCCAAACCTCACACTTCACACTTCACACTCGCTCTTCGCACTCCAAACTGAAACTTCACACTCCACACTTCACACTCCACACTTCACACTTCTCACTTCTCACTGCTTCCTTCACACTCCAAACCTCACACTTCACACTTCACACTCCAAACCTCACACTGCGCTCTTCGCACTCCAAACTGAAACTTCACACTCCACACTTCACACTCCACATTTCACACTTCTCACTTCTCACTGCTTCCTTCACACTCCAAACCTCACACTTCACACTTCACACTTCACACTGCGCTCTTCGCACTCCAAACTTAAACTTCACACTCCACACTTTACACTTCTCACTTCCCACTGCTTCCTTCACACTTCACACTTCACACTGCACTCTTTACGCCCCACACTTCACACTGCTCTAAACCTACGTGCAACAACAAAACACTAGTGCCAAAATGGAGAAAATCTGCTAACAAATCCATTTCGCAGCCTTCATGCAGCCACTCCAAGACGATTTCCGAGATCCAGCTGCAAAAGACAATAGTATGACAAATGCAGCCACAGTACGACGCAACCTTGACGCAGCCATTACAATGCGATTTGCAGAGACTGAGTTGCAAAACACAATAGAACTACGCGCAACGGCGTCGGAAATTGTAGCTCCAAAACCGGATCTCGACGCCAGAGCGAAAAAAAGACGATTTTGAAGCACTTTTTAAAATGATTTTTAGAAGGAAAATCACTAGCGCCAAAATGGAGAAAATCTGCTGACAAATCACTGTCGCAGCCTTCATGCAGCCACTCCAATACGATTTACGAAGTCCAGCTGCAAAAGACAATAGTATTACGAATGCAGCCACAGCACGAAGCAACCTTGACGCAGCCATTACAATGCGATCTGCAGAGACTGAGTTGCAAAACGCAATAGAACTACGCGCAACGGCGTCGGAAATTGTAGCTCCAAAACCGGATGGATCTCGACGCCAGAGCAGAAAAAGTTGATTTTTGAAGCGTTTTTTATAAAGAATTTAAATAGAAAATGAAAGCAGGCAAAATCTGAAAGAATCAAGCTGCAGCAAGTTCACGCAGCCATTACAATGCGATTAGCAACAATCCCTAGCAAAACACAATGGTATTACGTCCTCAGCTCGTCCACCGAAGCATTTGAAACCTTCTAGACATTGCGGGAACGATCCTACAGTTGCAAAGCACAATGGAATTCCATCGGCAACTCATCCACCAGCAACACTTGCAATCCCATTTACATTGCGGGAACGATCCTACAGTTGCAAAGCGCAATGGAATTCCATCGGCAACTCCTCCACCAGCACCACTTGCAATGCC